TTGCATCGTGTCCAATTGTAGTGTGCGCAATTGAAGGCTTCTCTCGTGAATGTAGATGCCCGTGAGCCGTGTCCACGCGGCGCCGGCGTGCGATGCGTGGTGAGCTTGAGCTGCCGTTGATGCTGTATCTTTGGTCCTGGATGATTCGCACTGCTGAGTGTTCACTTTTGTCCGCACTGAGTCAATTCTCGGATGAGAAAAAGTCCACAAGAGCACTCTAAAGGTCTTAAGCACTACACGACGCGTGTACTAGGTACGGTTGCCATGAGCCAAAAGCCGGTAACGTACGTGAAGAAGCGCCGTCGCCTCGTGTCGCGATCGGGCATGCGCGCGCAGCGCTCCTGCGGCGCTGCACGATCTGACCCGGCTGATGCTGCCATCACGCCGGTGACGAACTGCCCGAGATTCAGAAATGAATCTCGAACAGTAACGGTGCGAAACACCGAATTCCAAAGCCTTCGATACCGCATCGAAGGCCGTCGCCGCACGTGTTTATGACGTGATTGTGAGCGTGATCTCTATCCATCACTTGGGCTGTTATTCCTTTTCAACACTTCCGAATATTGCCGAATTATGACGACCGATGGTCGCGGATCCGCTCGCGTACCGGTCGGAAGTCAGTCACGTCTCGTCACGTCTAGCGATCGTTCGGCTATCCCTAGATCCAATTCGCTATTCACTAATTTCCTTTCCGTCGCTACCAGTGTTGTGCAGTACCTAGGTACAAGTACCTAGGTACTGTAACTAGGTACAATTTTACGTACCTAGTTACTGTACCGAGATACTTTTTTCTCTGGTACCTATACCTACATTTAGGTACAATTTCTTGTGTACCGGTACCTATATTTAGGTACATTTTAAGTTACTTTTCTATTAGCGTCTTAAGACAACACTTAAGATGATTTTGAAATAAGAATCGACTATGAATACCGGTCTTAGGGTTGTGTCACATGGAGCGTAACTTGCGTAAGCGTAATCTGCGTATCGCCAATCAGAGGGTCAGGGTGCAAACTGATAGAGCGGAACGGTGTACGCAGAAAATCGCGGAATGACAGCTTCGACCAATCACGAAAACATTGGAATACTCGTGATTGGTCAAGGCTTCCGTTCCGCGAATTTCTGCGTACACCGTTCCGCTCTATG